GTAAGTTTTCTATTCCATATCAGTTCTCCAACACAGCTTTTTGCCCTCACAAACACTCGTTTGGGAAATGAAAGACATTTGAAGGACAATTGGGAGGGTAAATCCTTGGGAGGGAAAGGGTTAACTTCCCACATCATTCTTCATTGTCTTCTCCTGAAGCTGCTTTTCAGTTTCGAAGGCCAAGTTGCATGCATCTATGTATAATGTGTAGTTTGACGCTTTGTGTGGCCATTGGCAAGAAAGTGGCTCTAAGACTCCTACAGCTGTTACCCACGAACTCCAACCAACATGGATTGCTTGAATCTAAAGCTAGGAGTGGTGATAATTTTATTCTAGGATCTAACTTTCAGCTTCCACAAAGGAGAGGCAAAGCTCATTTAGCAATCACAGATTACTGGTAGCCTTGGTTAAAAAGCAACATTATATTGAAACATATTTATCTTCCCCAAATTTATTCTGCTTGTACTCAGTACAGAGTGAGTCATAGTGTGATGTCAAGGAGGAAACCACAGAAAGCAACACATATCTTTTAATAGCATCCTGATTTCTTCTAGTTACACCCACTTGGGAAATATTTTCATGAAGGTCAGGAAAAGGACCCCTTATTGAAGGTGTGTTAGATTAATGGAATGTATGTATTTTGATTTTTCAGGCCATCTGAATCAAAGGAAGGAAAAAGAAAAATATATTAAAGCCGAGACACAAAATGGCACAGTTCATCTCAAACACCAAACCTGGTTTCAGTCTGTAAAGCTGAAGGCTCCATCCTAAAGGTTATTTATCTATGTGAATCACAGAACCATAAATAAAGATCATGGTAACTGTAAAGATTACAGATTCAGGTGGGTAGCTGTGTTGGTCTGAAGCAATAGAACAAAGTTTGACACCTTTAAGACAAACAGTGTTTTATTCTGGGTATTAGGCTTTGTTGGTCTTTTTTATCATTTAAATTTTTATTTTGAAATTACAAAGTATAAACAGAGACATTTTGAGCAGTATAACAACTAGTACAATACATGAAAATATGACCATGCTAAACTGTACATGGTTGCAAAGTACATAGTGATAAGAGGGTAACTTTAAGCACTAAGTGTGAGATAACAATAAAGAATCCAGTACACTAGTCATAATTGTGGCATTAAAAGTATGATAAAAGGCTATAGTAGCAGTTAGTTGACTGATTTTTATTTAATGTATTGCTATTTACCAAGAAATCTAACATGGGGAACCATTGTTCCATGAAATTGGATCAAAACATGAGAATCCAACTGTAAAATTTGATCTGAGATTTTCTCTATCAGGAAATAATCCCATAACCTTCTATGTCTGTGGTTGCAAACCTATGGCATGCATGCCAGAGGTGGCACTCAGAGACCTCTCTGAGGCCACATGCACCGTTACCCCAGCTGCCCGGGTGGCCCCTGATTGGGCAGTTTGAATGGAGGGTGGGGGCTACGCAAGGCAGACGTTGAGCCAGCAGGGGAAGAGAAGCCGGCTGCGCCCCACAACTCCCCTTCTCCTCCAAGGCGGCTGACTGCGACAAGCAACAGCAGCCTGCAGGAGGGAGTGCCTGCCCGAGTGAGTGCGCCTCTCTGCGCCCTGAGCCCTGCCTGGTCAGCGGCTCGGCTCCTCCAAGCCTGCAAGCGAGTGTCCCTCTCCTCCTACTCCATCCCGTCCTCTGCCAATGTCAGTGTCGTCATCTTCGTCCCTGGGAGGGAGGGTGGGCAGCCCAGCCTCTGCCACCTTCCCGCCACCGCTCCCCTCTCTCCCTCCCTCCAGCGCGCAGGACTCGAGGTCAGGGGGCGAGAGCGGCTCCTCAGGGTTGGTGGGTGCAGACACGGGCTTCGTCATCATTGTGGGAGTTGCAGGAGATCTTCGGGTTTGGAGGGGGGTCGGGGGGGGGTTGACATTGCCTCCGGTCTGCTGCTTGTTCCTGGCTGCTGGCACGACCAGGTGGGCACCTGTTCTGATTCTTTCTCCTGGCTTTTCTGTTTGCTGGGGAGGAAGGCCAATTGACTTGCATGGGCTCCATTGAAATACATTACAGTACAAGTAGAATTGCAATAAAAACGCGGAATGGATTTTCCATTAGGGTTTCTGGGGCCAAATAGACTACTCTGGGAATGGAGTGAGAGACTACGGAGTGGGATGACAGCCCCAGGGCGGAGCAGGAGTGTTCTGGGACTGGAATGACAGGTCCCAGAGTGGAATGACAGCCCCAGGGTGGAGCAAGAGTGGTCAGGTCCTGGAATGAGAGACCATAGAGTGGAATGACAGCCCCAGGGTGGAGCAGGAGTGTTCTGGAACTGGAATGACAGGCCCAGGAGTGGAATGACAGCCCCTGGGGGTAGCAGGAGGGTTCTGGAACTGGAATGACAGGCCCAGGAGTGGAATGACAGCCCCTGGGGGTAGCAGGAGGGTTCTGGAACTGGAATGACAGGCCCAGGAGTGGAATGACAGCCCCTGGGGGTAGCAGGAGGGTTCTGGAACTGGAATGACAGGCCCAGGAGTGGAATGACAGCCCCTGGGGGTAGCAGGAGGGTTCTGGAACTGGAATGACAGGCCCAGGAGTGGAATGACAGCCCCTGGGGGTAGCAGGAGGGTTCTGGAACTGGAATGACAGGCCCAGGAGTGGAATGACAGCCCCTGGGGGTAGCAGGAGGGTTCTGGAACTGGAATGACAGGCCCAGGAGTGGAATGACAGCCCCTGGGGGTAGCAGGAGGGTTCTGGAACTGGAATGAGAGGCCCTTGAAGAGGAATGAAAGCTCCAGGGTGGGGCAGGAGTGTTCAGGGACTGGAATGACAGGCCCCAGAGTGGAATGATAGCCCCAGGGTGGAGCAGGAGTGTTCAGGGACTGGAGTGAGAGACCACGGAGTGGAACGACAGCCCCAGGTGGAGCAGGACTGTTCTGGGACTTGAATGAGAGACCACGGAGTGGAATGAATGACAGTCCCAGGGTGTAGCAGGAGTGTTCTGGAACTGGGATGAGAGGCCCCAGAGTGGAATGAGATGACGCTGATCTGGTGATAACTACACACATTCCAGAAATATTTAAATGCAAGACCATGAAAGGGAATGACAGCCCCTGGGGTAGCAGGAGTGTTCAGGGAATGGTATGGGAGACCACGGAGTGAAATGACAGCCCTGGGGTGTAGGAGCAGTGTTCTGTGACTAGAATGATAGGCCCCAGAATGGAATGACAGCCCCTGGAAGTTTCAGGAGTGGTCTTGGACTGGAATGACTGCCCTAGGGAGTGGTAGGAGTGTTCTGAAACTGGATTAGGAGATCACTAAGTGGAATGATAGTCCCTGCAAGTAGCGGTGATATTCTGGGACCACAATGACAAGCCCCAGAGTTGAATGACAACCCCTAGATATGGCAGGAGTGTTCTGGAACTGGAATAGGATACCACTAAGTGGAATGACAGCTCCTGGGAGTTTTCTGGAAATGGAATGACAGACTCCAAGGTGGATTGACAGTCCCTGGAAGTAGCAGGAGGCTTATGGGCCTGGAATGACAGGCTCCAGAGTGGAAGGAGAGACCCTGGGTATAGTGAAAGTTCTGTGCAATTGGATTTGCAAACTGTAGAGTGAAATACTTTACATTTAAATATTTCTGGAATGTGTTTAGCTATCACCAGATCAGCTCCATCTCATTCCACTCCGTGGTCTCTCATTCCATTCCCAGAGTAGTCAATTTGGGCCCAGAGACTCTAATGGAAAATCCATTCCGCGTTTTTATTGCAACTCTGCTTGTACTGTAATGTATTTCTATGGAGC